TATACCTGGAAGACAAGTTAGCACTAATCAGGGAAACCCTCACGTAGTGCTCCTCCAGAAGTTTATGATGTATTGTTGGTCACTCTGCAAAAGAATCTTCTGTATAAAGAACAATTCTCTGGACTACTTGAAAGAACAAGCAAAGGCAATGAGGCATCAAAACCTTTTTACTGAAGGGTACTTCAGTGATATGATGTCAAAACAAGAATGATTGGTACTGTAGTCTTCATATCTGTTGGGAAATCCAGAATAATGCCTTCTTAAATGTAGAGCTAAAAGACTAAAGCCTTCCAGTTTCAGTCTAAGGCTAAAAAGAAGTCTTTTGTAGGATGAAAACAAATAATAATAAATAGTTTTGTGGATTAAAATAGGCATTTAACCAAAACACACTGGTCCCATACAGATTTTCATTTTGGTGCAGTGAAAATCAAAGGCTGTTGTGATGTCATGAAGAGAACTAGCTAGGACTTGAACACATACAACACAAATGAGCTTCAAAGTGGCTTGAATAAACCCTCAATCTAAACAAAAACAATATTTTTTCAGGGAAGCCTCTCCAATCCCCCTCCTGTTCAAACAGTAGTAATAGTTCTTCAGAGAAGTAATGGGAGCATAAATAGAAACAGTTTGATTAGCAAGTGGCAGACACCATATCACACTAGTGGTGACAGTAGAACTCATTCTGTCTCAATAACCACATACAAAGGATTTTACATTAAAGTTACCCTGCTCGTCTAGAGCTGACTGTATGCTGGCATTAACAGCTGCAACTTTTCCACTCTTTTAATGATGACAATACGCTGGTCACAGTGTATAATCCCCTTCTCTGCTGTTAGCACACCAGATACAAGAAAAACCTCCATACCATGCGCTATGGGCAGAAAAGAATCTGTGATCTGCTCCCTCCCTTACCCATCCTATTTTCAAATCAAACCAATAACTAGGAAAGTGTGGGAAGACAGAGGTTGAGATTAATGTTCCTCCATGCTTTTTAGCTTTATAAAGCTCCTTTTAAAACATTCAGGAAAATACTGTGGTAACTGACATGAAATGACAGTAATCTGTCACTATTTCACATTTCCCACTAGACTGATTCAAATTGTTATTTATGAACCTTATACTTCAGTGGTCACTTTGATGACTAAACCATAAATTAGCATGTAAATTTGATTTCACAGTAACAACAAATTGTCAGCAAGCTGGGATATTATTTAATTTCTATCGACATGCAATGAAAAAGTCAGCAACACCAGATGTGCTATATTATAATAAATCCCCAAACTTACAAAAATGCACACTACATCTAATATTTGCTTCATTGCTTTTGTGTTTAAAAACAAAAACAAAAACAATTTATATATGTTTTAGGGTTGGTTTTAAATATAAACCCATTATTTTATGTCAGTTCATGCCATTAATTAAATTGTTCAATTAAAATAAGACTGAAAATAAACAATCAAGATGTTAGAGAAAAATTGTGTTTTTCATGGAACAGATGTGCATGGAACAGAAGTGCAACACAGAATGGAAGAGACTCTAGGAGGTCTCTTGTACTTTCACCCTAATTTACATGTGTACTTTAGGACAAGGCAGAGACTTGTTTCATAATATTTAGAGCTTGCTTTATAGATGAAGTGCTGCCAGCATTGAAGTATATAATTTGTTCCACAAAAGAACACTGACAATTACTTTTTCTTATTTAGAAATACATTTTTCATTTGGTATAGAGACTAATTCAGCTTCAGTTATCCCAAATATCAACATTCAAAGCCCCCCAAAGCTCAGACATCTCTGAAATTCACTTGCTAAACTCATTTCCTTCTATTAGATTATGTTTTTAAAGAGAAGCCTCACCACATACCATCTGCTATTATTTTGACTCCAGTAAAAATATATCTATATATAGATACATATACACCCTTTGACAGTCAGACTTAGAGAGATTCTATCTTGTCTGAAAGAAGAAATAAATCTAAAAGGTGACCAAAGAAATGCTTAGATAAAATTAACACTTCCAAAATAGTGAAAATATTCCATATCTGACAAGAATTTTCCCTTCCATTTCTACAAAATCCCCTGCTTTTTAAATATATTTTCCCGTGAAATTTTACAGAGTGATCTCAAAATGCAATCGAATTAAAGACTTTTTTTGAACCAGGAGGTTGGCTTAGAACATGAAAGAAACCCCTTCGAGAGTAAAAGCTCTTAAAAGTTATAGACTTAGAAACTGACTTAGGTCTTCCTATAGCAAATGCAAAGGTGAAGATAGTCAAGACAAATTAAAGAACAAAATTAAGAAACAAATGGTTTTGGAGAAGAGAAAAATATAGATCTCTAAATGATCTTGCTGATTTACAATGCATTTAAGTTATATGTATCAAACCATTACAAATTAAGAATATTTTTAAATTTAAATATAAAGAGAAAGATTTTCAAATGTGAAAATTCAAATTGAAAATCAGTGGGGGTTGAGTGTAAAGCTACGATTTAGTGGCAGAAGTCACTGCCCGCGGGGTCATGGAGTTGCGGGGTGCCCCCGCCACCTCTGGCAGCCCCTGGAGCTCCAAGCTGCTGTAGGCGGCAGGGTACCCTGCAGCTCCCGGCCACTGCAGGCAGTGGGGGCCCCAAAGCTGCCAGTGGTGGGGGAACCCCCGAGCTCCTGACCACCGCGGGCAGCGGGGAACCCCCCGAGCTTCCGGCCGTGGGGAATCCCCGCAGCTCCTGGCTGACACCAGTGGCGGGGCACCCCACAGGCAGCGGGGACCTCCTGGAGCTGCAGACAGCAGGGGTACCCTGCAGCCCCAGTGTAGCTGCCCTGTTTCAGGCAGTGTGGGGACCTGCAGATCCCCATTTTGTCAGGGATATTTTTAGTAAAAGTCACGGACAGGTCACGGCTTCTGTGAATTTTTCTTTTTTGCCTGTGGCCTGTCCGAGACTTTTACTAAAAATACCAATGACAAAATCTTAGCCTTACCTATGTGCCATTTGTCCCTTTGTAAATTTCCCCCTACAGGTGGAATTGTGTCTTTATATGCCTGAGCCATTTTCACTGGGATTTGCATGTTCATAGCTGAAGGCAAAATATGGCCCTACAGGATTATTTCTAGATTAAATTAATTTTTTGTGAATACTTCAGAGCAACAAGGTGAACAAAATTAATGGATTAAAATGGTTCTGTTGATGTCATGACAACAGTCATGACCATGTTCTGAGTAAACTTTAAACACATATGTTTTCATAGATCCAAACAAAGACTGGATGTTCGTGTTGTGACAATGTCACTTAAAAAATATAACAATTGTATTTGCTAGTGGCTACCTGGCCCCTATTATCTTATAAACAGGAACCGAAAGAGATAGTGGGAATGTAGAACAGAGATTAACCTAACTTTCCACTGTTATCTCCCTGCTCCTTTTTTTTTTTTAGGCATCAAAACAAAAAAGTACACATTTGAAGGACCTAACCAATTGTGTGTGTTCTTTCACCAGTTAGGTTAGAAAAAGTGCTTTCTTCCTTTCCCCACCATGTCAACTGACATGAAATAAAACCCAAGACCCAAATCTGCAAAGCCCCATTGAGATTTTGGAGGACTGGTCACATAAATATTATATGGTTGAAGTACAGGACTCAGAATAAGGAAAGCTGGGTTTTATTCCAAGCTCTGTCACAGACATACAGTGATACCTTGGACCAAATCACTTAGGAACAAATTTTCCCAAGCATGGCCTCTAAATATAATTGCCTCAATTTGAGGATATTGAACTTGACATAGGCAGGACCTGAGCACCAACAGTTCCACTTAGGTTAATGGGACCAGTGAAAGCGCGGTCATAAGTGTGTCAAGTTGGATACCTAAATGTTAAGGCATCCAAAATTAGAAGACACTTTTGAATTTGAACTAGTTGCGGCTTGCTGGCGCCAACCAGCAGGTCATACAAGTGGGACACCTTCCCCGCCCCCATGCTTTTAAAGACCAAACCTTCTTTCAACAAATAATATTAGAGGTATTCTTCTGCTGTTATTGAATGGTTAATGGTTGACTCCACTTAGCAAGCGGTCTTCCAGCTTTTTAATTTAGGGCTGTCCTTTGGCTCCATAAAGCCCGCAGTCTCAGACCCTCCCTAACGTGGGAGAAATAAAATTTGAAGAACAATCTCAGCTTTTGCTTGAAATAAAAATCTTTCTAGCCCCTTTCCTTGCAAAGAAAGCCTACAAAATGTAAACAAATGTAAAACAATCATGAGGATTGAAAGAAAATGGTAAGCTAGGCTCCATTTCTGAAGTAAGAGGCTGGGGGGAACTTAAAGATAAAACTTCTTAAAATACATTATGTATAAAATTAATCAGTTAAGTTTGATGTGTGTTCCAAAGAATCATCTCGCTACCCTCCTTAGCCCTGTGCACAGTGGTGTGAACACAGCGGACAGGAATCAATGATATCCGGGGTGCAAACAAGCAAAAAATATTTTCACAAACGTATTCAAAAATGTTAAGATTGGATATGCTTCTGTTTCTACACCCTACTGGACTGTGCTTCAAATTGGGCAAAAACAGAGTAAAGAAAGCTTAAGCTACTGGCACTCCCCTGAGCATATTAACATGCCAGTGATGAAGGAAGGCAGAAAAGAAGGGATGAGGACATGGACATAGAGCAAGAGAAAACACAACACAGGGAAAAGCAAAGACAAAACACATGGCAGCAGAGGACTGAAGGGCAGAAAAAAGAGGGACAGCAAAGGAGTTTAGAGAACAGTATGTAGAATCCCATTAGTACTAATGGGACTCATGTTTAAATCCTTCCAATCAAGGAGAACTGAATACTGTGCCAGTCACTCACTCCCTCACTCTGCCTCCCCACCATTTGTGAACAATAATACTTGTACAAGATCTCTCTCCCCATTCCGTAAACTGGCATGGGACTTACACCCTTAGGGGAGAAGAACATGTCATTCAGCATTTTACAATTCTTAAGTAAAAGAGATGAACTAAAGTATGCTTACCTGCCGATGAATAATCTCTAGGTTTGTTCTTGCTTTATTCACTAGTGTTTGTATTTCTTCTGAATCCTTTAAATGTTTGTTTTCTCTGAAGGCATCTCTTATCCTTCTGATGGTATATGTTCTAGACATTATTAAAAAAAGCATCCGTAAGTGTTTTGACATCAAAACAATTTTTAAAGTGTTTGGCTACTGCAGTAAATGCTGTTGAGGATATTTACGAACAGTTGTACACACTAATCGTCCATTTATCTGCTTCAAACTTTATATTCTCTCTCTCTGTTCAGGTTAAATCCTATCATGCCCTAGTAAATACTATAAAGCAATGGTCAGGGCCTTGAACTGTAGAACCAGCTTTACTAGAACTTAATGTGGAAGAACTTTGTGCCTCATATACTTCAATTTCCTTCATGTCTACGTCATCTCTGAGATGTATAAACATTTCTCTATGCCAACAGACTGGGAATGTTATTGTAGATTATAAACATATGGGGGAATCACAAATACACTGTAGAATTACTCCTCTACACACCCTTCCCTAATGTGTGGAAAGAAAGATGGTGGTTTCATCACTGGAAACAGAATCATTAACAATACCAAGAGAAACATAGAAAACCCCATGTTGTCTAAACTTTCTTCACCAAGGCAGTTTTTTGTTTTTTTTTTAAGTTAAGTACAACTACCTGGAGGGTCTTATTACATGCTCTCTGTTTACTTTTTTTAATACCAAAGGTCTCCTTGTAACAATTCGAGTAGCCACAAGAAAAGTCCAATCATTATTGCTCTGCCTGTTACTGCTATTAAGATGCAGCACTGCTTGGCACTACAAAGAAAAAGCCTGAAGTAGCACAATAGCACTACTTCTGCTGGATGCTAGTTATGAGTGCTACAGAGCACAAGGATATTTCAGTCATGTCTTTTCTTGTCATATGAACCACAAGAGTGATTTGAATCAGTGCACGGATTCTTGTTCCTGGCATTCCAAGGGTCATCAGGCACAATGCTAACCACTGCATACATCAATTTGTAACCTGAAAGTCACCAAAGGTGAGCTGTTGAATCAGCCATTCAAAAATGTGTTTTATTTTTCTCAACGTGCATTTTGCTTTCCACTCGAGGAACAGTGCCCCTAGTCCCACTAACAGGTGGGAAAGAGGATGTGGCCTCCACCCTTGCAAGGCAACACAGAAAAGTGTCCAAAACTTTAGGTCCCAAGGACCATTAGAAACACAGATTAGAATTCTCTCTCCTTATTTAAAAGCCAACAAATAATCTTGGTACAATCTGCAATGAATCCCTTAACAAACACTAGACGGATTTCATTTTTGTTAAAAGACACTCCCAATTGACCAGTAGATATTTTTATGAGAGGCCAGCTTATAAAGGTATTTGGTGCATGCTGATCCTTTTCAGGTATCTTTGTAATTCACACTATTATTGTCTATCACCATTTAAAATGCCTCACACCAATAAACATATTTATCTCAAACTTAAACATTTTGCTCAGAAAGAAAAAAACAATGAAAACCACTCCAATAGCTTAATATTTTCAAAGATTACTTTTCATCTCATACAAAAGTGAAATGCAAGCTTCAGGTCCAACATGAAACTGTTGGAAATCTGATCATTAACCCCTTCCTCCACCCCAAATATGTATATCTAGAGAGAGAGCAAAGAGAATATTCTTAAGAAAAAAGATTAACAACCTGCTTCACTACCATACCATTAGATGGTGCCATCCAGTTCTTAACGCAGTTTCCATGAGGTAAGTGACATATTTTTGTAAGAGCTCATAAATAATACATTTCAATCACAGGAACCAGGGGTGCTTATGGAGTGCTACCCTGCTGCCACAAACCAGCAGATGGTGTGTGCTTTTAATTAGGGCCTGTTCACCTATAATGTGACATGGATGTGTGTGTAGTTAATAGAATTTATTAAATATGGAAGCTCATTCTTATTTGCAGCTGGTGTCCTAGAAAGATTTTGAGGGGAAGCTGCTTAGTTATTCTGGGGCATACAACCAAAAAATGTTGAGATTTCGTTTAATTTTGTTGCTTGATAATGAATGACTGGATAAGGAAAATGCTCTTCATCTGGGGTGCGTGTTTGTTTAAATATACTCTATTTCTTAAAAGGAAAAAAAAAAATTCAGTGGTTGTTTCCTGGAAGATATACAATCCTAACGTACACTTTCTATTTATTTAAAAACTGGTGTTCGTTATCCAGCTTTATTCTGCAAACACTCATGTGAGTGACTCTACCAAGGTGAGTAGGCCCCATTGATTTTAATGGGAGTAATCACATGCATGTCTGTCAGTTTGGCCCCAGATTGCTTTTGCTCTTTTATATGTACGATGGATTTATTATCCATTTTCTAGTTTTTCACTCAATACACCAAACACAGTTGTTTAGAAAGAAAATTGATGTATTTAAGAACTGGCACAACAGTTCACATTTACTGTCTAAACACTGTGTATGGCAAGAAACAAACATGTATGGGCAGCAGACTCAGAGCCATCCTTACCCATACACAAAGTATGCAGCTGCGTAGGGCACCAGGAAACTTGGGGCACCAAATTTCCTGGTGCCCTGCCCAGCTGCGTGCTGCTCCAGCCCCTGCCACGCCTCTTCCCCAGGCCTCCCACCTCTGCCCCCCGCGGAGGCCTGGGCCCTTCCCCCCCACAGGGGGGCTGCGTAGGGCCCTAGAATAGCTAGGGACGGCCCTGAGCAGACTTGACTAAAGGATTACCCAGTGTTATCTTTTCCTTCTCTAATTTCTACAAGCCTGTAAATCTGTTAGCTGCCATTTTATATCCCAGTCCTGCAAAGACTTATGGACATGCTTAACTGTAAGCATGTGAGTAGTTCCAACTAATCAACTGGACTATTCACGTGCTTAAAATTAAACATGTACTTAAGCTTTTGCAAAATTGGGGCCTAACCTAAAAGTGCAAATAGCTGTAGTAGGAAGACAAAATTTTGTTGCAATTTACTATTATTAAAACTTTCTATACATCCTTGGATGGAAAGTGCTATATCTCAGTGCACTCTACAAAAATTAGTTAGCTTCACAATACCTCTGTAAGGCACCGAGGAAACGGAAGCAGAGAGTTCAAGTGGCTTGCCTTAAGTCACACATGAAGTCTGTGGCAAAGCCAGGTACAGAACCTGTATCTCTTAACATCCAATCCTGTATGTTAACCGTAAGCTTGTCCTTTCTTCCTTTTTGGGAGGTATAAGGTAAACATAGTTTCCAAACCCAACCTATTCTACTCTTCCAAGATTTGTGTTAAAAAAAAAAAAGTTAACATATATTTTAGCCCTTCTCAATGTAACATATTCTACAAAAGATAAAAACTGATTGTTTTGTACAGCCTCAGTTCTGAATCTTTATCCTCTTCTCATGCTTCTAGGTCTTAACAATGCTTATACAAAAAGCCACCAGTAACACTATGGCTGCAGTACCTCTGCAGGTCTCTGAACAACAGAGCCCTCTTAAAATAATAGCAACACACATACTGTACGTAGCAAGAAACAAGGATATGCAGAAACATGGATAGCATATGCCCTCTCTTGCACACACTTGTTTTTCTCTTGAGAATAGCTGCTCCAAGGAAATCCCTTTGTTTGGCTCATAGTGAGTTACAGACTGACTACTAATTATCATGATTACATTGATTCTCAGCACAGCACAAATTCATCTGTATTCTCATATGGTACAGGATTTACAAGTGAGAGGGTAGAGTATCTGTATATCCTTTAATAAATAATAATAAAAATAAACTCATCCAGGCATAATAGTTATTTGTAGATATAATACCTTACACCTTTTGCTCCTGTTGATTCAAATGAGTCTTGCAGCATGTGCTACATTGTCAGCCAGAGCAAGCAGGTTTCAGAAATGACACAGTTGCTGCAACAAAAATAGCAAGCTAACTGCAGTGCAATCTCTTGCATTAAAATTATTATAATGGGTGTTGGAAACCATCACAACAAATTAATGCAAAAGGCCGGGAGAACAAGAAACAAAAAATATGGGGGGGGATGAGGGAGGGTACCGCATGAGGAATTATTGGTTAAATTGGAAAAGATGGGGATCGATATGAAAATCCAGAGGTGGATAAAGAACTGGTTAAAGGGGAGACTGCAGCGGGTTGTACTGAAAGGTGAACTGTCAGGTTGGAGGGAGGTTACCAGTGGAGTTCCTCAAGGTTCGGTTTTGGGTCCGATTTTATTTAATCTATTTATTACTGACCTCAGAACCGAATGTAGGAGTGGGCTGATAAAGTTTGCGGATGATACAAAGTTGGGAGGTATTGCCAATTCGGAGAAGGATCGGGATATCCTGCAGGGAGATTTGGATGACCTTGTAAACTGGAGTAATAGTAATAGGATGAAATTTAATAGTGAGAAGTGTAAGGTTATGCATTTAGGGATGACTAACAAGAATTTTAGTTATAAACTGGGGACGCATCGGTTGGAAGTAACGGAAGAGGAGAAGGACCTCGGAGTCCTGGTTGATCGCAGGATGACTATGAGTCGGCAATGTGACGTGGCCATGAAAAAAGCTAATGCGGTCCTGGGATGAATTAGGCGAGGTATTTCTAGTAGGGATAAGGAGGTGCTGGTTCCGTTATACAAGGCACTGGTGAGACCTAATTTGGAGTACTGTGTGCAATTCTGTTTAAAAAGGATGAATACAAACTGGAACGGGTACAGAGAAGGGCCACTAGGATGATCCGAGGAATGGAAAACCTGTCATATGAAAGGAGACTCGAGGAGCTCGGTTTGTTTACCTTAACCAAAAGAAGGCTGAGGGGGGATATGATTGCTCTCTTTAAATATATCAGAGGGATAAATACCAGGGAGGGAGAGGAATTATTTCAGCTCAGTACTAATGTGGACACGAGAACAAATGGATATAAACTGGCCGTTGGGAAGTTTAGGCTTGAAATTAGACGGTTTCTAACCATCAGAGGGGTGAAGTTCTGGAACAGCCTTCCGAGGGAAACAGTGGGGGCGAAAGGCCTCTCTGGCTTTAAGATTAAGCTTGATAAGTTTATGGAGGGGATGGTTTGATGGGATAACGTGATTTTAGTCAATAGGTCAATAACGTGCCAT